AAATAAAATCTAAAATCGTGTAATATCAGTGGAGTGCTCGCGATAATAGCGTATAGGCGTATATTACCGCATCATTTGTGCGTGTACAGAGCCCTTCTAATATACATTTAGCTCATACATACATGTGCCAGCCTCTCCACAGTAAAATTCTCTTTTTTTTCAACGCTGTCGCAAGATAGTTAAAAAAATATTTCTCAATCTCCATTATATCTGTTCTTCAGAGCAAGGCTATACTCCTTTATTTTTTGTTTCTTGGTCAACGAAACCGCGTTATATATTTCTGATTAGATGTATAGGTTTGATTTTGACAGGTTGATTGATAGGTGTGACATAAGTTGACCAACGCCGCAAATCTTTTTTTTTTACACTTTTTATTCAACATCGACATAATATAATATGTATTTTTTTTTTTTTATTTTATAACATTGCCAGCAATATAACAGAAAAATTACATGTAAACGTGTATATAATATACAGGTATATTTGTATATGGTTTAGAACTAAGTAGCCCTTGGAAGACGTTGCTTTGGTCGGCATAACGGTTTTTGTCAATATAAAGGATATATCAAGAAAATACAACAACTAACATTGTAATATTACTTATATTCATTTCAAATTGTTAAAACTTTTTAAATCATCTTTTCTTCTAATAACTTCATTGAGCTGCATCAATAAAACCGGTTGTATGTACACCATAAAATGTAGGGCACGAAATTCATTTTTAAAACAACAATAAAAAACATCGATAAAAAATCATACATTCATTTATCTTCAATTCGTCCAGTATGTCTAATTCAATTCGGTAGCTTGATATCTTTGGGAAGGGTTTTCTATACATTTTTTACTTTGTATCAAACAAAGTTCAACTTTCTTGGCCCTCTGGGCGTTATCATCCTTTATTGCTAAAATGTAAAAAAATAAAGATAGCATTCATTATTATTACTGTTAAAGTAATATTTTGCTGATTTTTTACTTTGAAAACGCTCATAAGTTTTTGAAAGAACATCCTCCAGGGAGTTTATGGTATTTTCAAGTGCTATTTTGATATTATCTTGCAAATAAGTATGAGCAAGAAATAAGGCAGCAAAGAGGTCTCCAGAGCCAGTAAAAGAAATAGGCAATTTCGAAATTTCAAGTTTTATCATTTTGTGATCTGTTTGAAAAAATCATTAATGTTCAAGTTTCCTCCTTCAGATAAGTTTAATTGCAGGCTTCAAAGAGTTGTCTTACCTGTAGTCGTGCTTACGAATGATGTCAGTTTTCCATTTATTTCTGCTGATGATATTGCCACGATTTGAGGACCTATTTCATGCAAATCGTTGATGGCTTTTCTTAATTCGGAAATCGTATTAACTTTGTTCCCAACTAAAATTCTGTATAAAATTTTTTTTTATTAAGTTTTTTTTTTTTTTTTTCTATAGGTAAGCACATCGAAGCGCTATTGGGGCCTCTCTGCGTTGCGATATACCATACATAGCTACGTAGCCGCTCCAGAGCAAATCAGACAAGGGGGACCCTACAGGTAGCCGTGCATTGTTGTCGAAGGTCGTCCCCCGGGTTGAACGAACGTTTCAACGTTACACACACCCAAGAGAGAGCTATGCGCGATGAGAGTGTATCCTATACAAACTTTAGCTAGGATAGACGGAGGAGCCGTGCACGTAACGCCTGACTCCCCCCCCCTTCTCTCTCTCTCTCTTGCTCTCGACCTTCCTACACCGCACGCTCCTTGGCTTGTTGGGTTTAATAACCCGGCTGATTTTTATCGCTCCTCCCGTGCTCGATCTATTCCGTATATAATATTATAAACTCTCTGGGCAGCATACGGCTATGGACTCCCCCTGTTCCCCCGTTTTTAAGGCCCCGATGTGTGTTTGGTCCCCCCCCCCGCCCTGTTTCAGAGGAACGACCAGCGGGCGAAGGTATCCTGGGGGAGCGCGCTGATAAAAGAAAAAGGTGCGCGCAGGTGCTTAGGATCGCTCGGCATGTTTGTAAGTTGGTATATATACCTACTTTATAACTAACAATGTGGGAAATTGCGATCGAGGAGTGTATCATTTGTGTATATAATATATACGGGCAGGGAAACCGAGGGAGGAATAATAATGCGCACAGCGCGCCGTGTCCAATTAAACGGACAATTAATTTTGATCGCGCTTTTAGCCAGCAGTGGTTTTTTTTTTTTTATTATTTTGGGAAAGCTAATAGTTTTTTTCATGGCACGCGTCAATCCCTGGGGTGGTAAAATTTACCGGTGGCTGTTGATGTGTACTTGAACAAAGGAAAAACATTTTTTTTTTTTTTTTTAATAACAATTACGTCGAGAGTCTTGATGCCAAAATTGTTTTAAATGTACAATATTACAAAATAAATAGTTTGTCTAACGCCGCGAGAGGAAAAAAGTACGGAAATAGGCACTTCGTAAATGTTAAACTAGAATTGCCATAATGGTGCCATATAATTGATGAAGTTACAATACACAGAGCAGTGTAATCTCATTTACAAATGGTTATTTAATAAATAAGTTTTTTACCAGTGACAAATAATAAGTTAAAAATTTTGTCACAACAATGCTTGGGTAATGTAAATGTTCAGTTTTCGAAGATCTCCTTATTACCATTTTCAATTTTTTTGTCAAAGATTTGTTTTAAAAAACACATTTTTTTATTTTCTTGTTTCCTCCGTAATTTCTTGTAAATAAAATTGAGTTGTGATAATTAAATTGAAATATCAAAAGAGAGTCATTAATAGTCGACACTTCGATTACAATTTACATCAGGCTTAATTATTTTGTGAAATAAAAAATGTCCAACATTTTAAATAATTAATGACACAAAATTTTTGTACTTATACAAATTATTTTTCAAAGTATAAATATTCTGTTAATATGATATTTAAGGAGTAAAAGTGAAATGAGGTAATAAAAACGTGTATTATACATATAAAGTAGATAAAAAAAGGTAAAAAATAAAATCTAAAATCGTGTAATATCAGTGGAGTGCTCGCGATAATAGCGTATAGGCGTATATTACCGCATCATTTGTGCGTGTACAGAGCCCTTCTAATATACATTTAGCTCATACATACATGTGCCAGCCTCTCCACAGTAAAATTCTCTTTTTTTTCAACGCTGTCGCAAGATAGTTAAAAAAATATTTCTCAATCTCCATTATATCTGTTCTTCAGAGCAAGGCTATACTCCTTTATTTTTTGTTTCTTGGTCAACGAAACCGCGTTATATATTTCTGATTAGATGTATAGGTTTGATTTTGACAGGTTGATTGATAGGTGTGACATAAGTTGACCAACGCCGCAAATCTTTTTTTTTTACACTTTTTATTCAACATCGACATAATATAATATGTATTTTTTTTTTTTTATTTTATAACATTGCCAGCAATATAACAGAAAAATTACATGTAAACGTGTATATAATATACAGGTATATTTGTATATGGTTTAGAACTAAGTAGCCCTTGGAAGACGTTGCTTTGGTCGGCATAACGGTTTTTGTCAATATAAAGGATATATCAAGAAAATACAACAACTAACATTGTAATATTACTTATATTCATTTCAAATTGTTAAAACTTTTTAAATCATCTTTTCTTCTAATAACTTCATTGAGCTGCATCAATAAAACCGGTTGTATGTACACCATAAAATGTAGGGCACGAAATTCATTTTTAAAACAACAATAAAAAACATCGATAAAAAATCATACATTCATTTATCTTCAATTCGTCCAGTATGTCTAATTCAATTCGGTAGCTTGATATCTTTGGGAAGGGTTTTCTATACATTTTTTACTTTGTATCAAACAAAGTTCAACTTTCTTGGCCCTCTGGGCGTTATCATCCTTTATTGCTAAAATGTAAAAAAATAAAGATAGCATTCATTATTATTACTGTTAAAGTAATATTTTGCTGATTTTTTACTTTGAAAACGCTCATAAGTTTTTGAAAGAACATCCTCCAGNATATATCTTTACATATATATATAATTATTATATGTATATATATATGCTTATTAGCAATTAGTATTAGCAATTAAAAAATAATAAAGAGGGAGGCATGAAACAAACAATATATATGCGTAATTATAATATATAGCAATAAGATTAATGATTATTATAATTACAATAGTAATGCAATAGACAATATTATTAAATTTACCAATTCTAGTAAATAAGACATGAGAGATAGAGAGAAAGAGAGATTTTACATTTAATCCAATTTCTTACAGTTTTTGTCTTCTCTGAATTATTATCATTTTGAACGCTTGTTTCGCCTTTCTTCTTGATTTAACTCGTACTATGGTTTCGCAAATCTGACAAGTACGAGAGATGATTTCTGTTACAAATAATGCGTGGTTGTTTTTGCCTTTAATTTACAAATGACGCGCGATTTACACAGATGAAGGAACTATTATCGTCATTCCTTAAATATTATTATTACTTTGTATAATGTAATTTACAAAGCTGTTAATTATTTGTTTATTTAATTATTTATACAGAAAGTCAGTCGCTTTTAAGCTTAAAGAAATGTATAATATAATATAGCGCGTGTCTGAGCTGGAAAAAATAGGTACTGTTCAATAATGTTTTTAATACGTATTGTATGAAAACTGGATTCAGAAACGCAAACGCCTCGCTGTATTTCTTTTATTTTAATTGTTTGTTTTTTTTTTTTTTTTATGTATATATACTAGTAGTATTACAGTTACGGTGTTGCGACAATATTACTAATGGCTCAGTACCGCCTGTTGTAAAAAACATTGTCGAAAACGATCCTTTTCATGACTATTTCACCATTTCTACATTCTATACACTAATATACAAATTACGTAATTTATATTTTCATCGCTTGTCCATCCCACTTATATAGATTTTTACCTGTACTTATTATTTTTTTCCATAAAGAAGTCCAATTTTTCTGCTAACTTCTTTCGAGTTAATATCACCGACTCGCAGAACGCTGGCAACTATTTTTGTTAAAAAAAAAAAAATATGCTCCCCATAATTTATTTATTTATATTAGATAACAGATCGATCATTAGTGCATTTTTACAGTTAGTTCAATGTAAATTAAAAGAAAGAAAAAAGTTGGTCTGAGGACGTATCACATAATTTAAACGCTCCACGTGATGACGTAAACGTTTAGTAGCTTTATTTTTCCTTACACGAAAATTTTTGAGAGATACAGTGAAAAACTCAGCTTGCACTCGCTTAAAATAGCGCAGCATTTTCTTCCTGTAGCTTTATGTATACATATACACTGTGAAAAACGATCTTACGAGGAGCATTCATTTCTATTTATATTAGAAAAAAAATTTCGAAAATTTTTTTTTCCTCCAATTTTTTGTTAATTTAATCAGCGTGCGATCGGCAACTTTTATTTTCAATAATGGGCATACAGCGAAATGCCACCGTGAGCTCAATTGCTGCGTTAAATAATTACCCGCTTTTGAGGGATTGAAAATAACTTAACGCTGCAATCGTCGATTTACATTTTCGTTACAAGCTCGTTTCTAGACGAAATCTGCAGTTTCTCTTAAGTATCCATCACCACGTTCACAAAGTGAGTTTACCGGTTAAAAATTGTATTGGGGAAACTGCACAGATTCTGTCGGAGTCGACATTTCACTGTTGCGCTTGATGATGTTAAATGTAATCATTCGCAATTTTTTACGCACATTCGCGCATCAGCTCTGGAAAATCGTTAGTAAACTCGTGAGTGATTTCCTCGTTGCGTGTGTAAGCGTGTACGTGTGTGTTTTTTCGGTTAATTTTCACATTGATGTGTATTGTATCAGAGAAGAATTCGAACATACATAGAATAGCGCGCAACTGTACATCAGTCTTTAATATCAGGGCGCACCATTTCCCAGTGAATGCTACGTCATTTTAACGATATTATTTATACATACATGTTTATATATTCGATCATGTGTGAAATTTCGTATTTCCATAAACATTTATAATCCTTCCACGTCTGTTTCCTTTATATCGTATAGCCAGTTATGGAAAGCAACGATCGCTTTTTTATTAACATTTTTGTCCAGCTCTAACCATTGCACCAGCGCCATGGCAGTTAAAATCCAATAAGTTTAAATGATCACACCATACCTTTTTTTTTTTTTTTTTTATTTCACAAATGAATATGGAAATGTATTTCATGACAAAATGTTATTTTGCAAGTATGCAAGTGTAATTGTCTGTGTAAGTGTATTTTCAATAGTTACTTAGTAAATTCTAAAAGTGGGAGGTCGCAGATCTTTCAAATATATAATACAATCAGCGTGTAGTAATAAAATTACAATTGTTACAATATTTAAATATTACTTATTACATACATATCGTCATACCGATAAGGTGTAAGATTTAGGTATACATATACAGTTATATATATTTATATATTTATATGCATTTATATATAATCAATATTTATAGGGTTACTTATTCATTTTTTTTCCTCATGTTGTAAGAGCCTTTTTTTACTTCAATCTTTACTTAAGACTCGCAAGATCGATGCG